AACAGCCCCTAAAATTTTTATTTTTCGATATAGAAGGGTGCGGTTTGGTTTGCTGGAATCCTCGAACGAAATGCTAGAGGGACGCTAGAGTCAGTTTTTCGATATTTTCAACGATTAAACAGATATGGAGGGGCTTTGTTAGGTCACGTTTTAAGTCACGTGGCTTTTGAAATTGGCGAACAGCCCATAAAATTTTTATTTTTCGAGCTAGAAGGGCGCGGTTAGGTTTGCTGGAATCCTCGACCGAAATGCTAGAGGGACGCCAGAGTTAGTTTTTAGATATTTTCAACGATTAAAAAGATATAGAGGGGCTTTGTTAGGTCACGTTTTAAGTCATGTAGCTTTTGAAATTGGCGGACAGCCCATAAAATTTTTATTTTTCGACCTAGAAGGGTGCGGTTCTGTTTGCAGGAATCCTCGAACGATATGCTAGAGCGACGCCAGAGTTACTTTTTCGATATTTTCAACGGTTAAAAAGATATAGAAGTGCTTTGTTAGGTCACGTTTTAAGTCACGTGGCTTTTGAAATTGGCGAACAGCCCGTAAAATTTTTATTTTTCGGTCTAGTAGGGTGCGGTGTGGTTTGCTGGAATCCTCGAACGATATGCTAGATGGACGCCAGAGTTACTTTTTCGATATTTTCAACGGTTAAAAAGATATGGAGGGGCTTTGTTAGGTCACGTTTTAAGTCACGTGGCTTTTGAAATTGGCGAACAGCCCGTAAAATTTTTATTTTTCGACCTAGAAGGGTGCGGTTTGGTTTGCTGGAATCCTCGAACGAAATGCTAGAGGGACGCCAGAGTTAGTTTTTCGATATTTTCAACGATTAAAAAGATATGGAGGGGCTTTGTTAGGTCACGTTTTGTCATGTGGCTTTTGAAATTGGCGGATAGCCCATAAAATTTTTATTTTTCGACCAAGAAGGGTGCGGTTTTGTTTGCAGGAATCCTCGAGCGATATGCTAGAGCGACGCCAGAGTTACTTTTTCGATATTTTGAACGGTTAAAAGGATATAGAAGTGCTTTGTTAGGTCACGTTTTAAGTCACGTGGCTTTTGAAATTGGCGAACAGCCCGTAAAATTTTTATTTTTCGACCTAGAAGGGTGCGGTTTGGTCGGCTGGATTCCTCGAACGAAATGCTAGAGGGACGCCAGAGTTAGTGTTTCGATATTTTCAACGGTTAAAAAGATATGGAGGGGCTTTGGTTTTACCAATTGGATTCCCAATTGTATTCCCAATTGGATTTCTAATTGGATTTCCAATTGGTTTCCCAATTGGCTTTCCAGTTGGACTTCCAATCTCCATTTCGTGGCTGAAAACATATTATTCAATTCTCGAAACCGAGAGAATTTCACTAACCAAATTTGGACAGGATCATAGCTAATACAATGCGAAATATGGCCTTAATGATAAAAATGTTGTCACCGCCGTTCTTGATGGTGAAAATTTGAAATATTTGAAATTATTAAACTTCGTGGCTGAAAACAAATATAGGTATTCAATTAAAACTGCCGAGATAAAAGAGGCAGTAGTTGCGTATCGGTCATTAACAGCTGCCAGAGATAAAGATAAGTACTCTGGTATAACATTATGTAAAGGCGATCTCACATTTCGCTCGGATAGCGCTATTGTTTGGTCAGTTTTCGAGATCGAAGATTTACCAAACGGATTATCAAAATCATATTTTTACAGGATGTGTAACAGACTTAATCTTACATGGACAAAATTCCTTGTAAAAAAATACCATAGTATTAGGGTGCTCTATGACGCTGTTGTGACTTGTATTTTATCTGCTCCCACTATATCAAATAAACTATTATATTAATACATTATTTTTAAGAAGGTAAGTGGATTTTACCGTAGAAGTGGAAGTTGCTATGGACAACGGGAGGTAAGTGTGGTAACTTACTGTTATTACATTTAATAACATTTATTAAATCTGGATAATTATTCCCCTCGCGTTTAATTGTCACATTTTTCTCAAAACATTTTGACCGCTCCATGTCAGTCACCGGAGGCTCAATCTTATCTGACCTATCCATTAAAACAGCATGATGCGACGTACTACTAGAACCTCGAGTTGAAGTGTCATTGTAAAGAATCCTGTTGGCTATTTCATTTTTGTTACTTAAACTGTCAGCAACATAACTCTCTGCAATTGTATCTGATTCCACCCACCATGTCTCTTGATTGCTAATACATCAATTCCTGTGTTAGCCAGTAACGTAGCCGATGTTATTTGGAATGAATGGCCTGTATATGTTTCAGGATGTTCTAGTTTCAAAAACTGTGCAATCGTATTAGGAAACATAGAGAGGGTATTTTTGCCGACTGGTTGGTTGTAACATCTACCTGCTTGATAGCGCATAAAAAGCCTGTTTCAGTTTTAATTTCCAATTTCAATCTTGATATATTTCTTGAGAATTTCTAGGTGAGAAACAGAACCCAAACGAGAAGTAATTGTAAACGTACGTGACATACCATTTTTAGAATCTGGAATTGTAACTACAAATGTCATCGAAATTTTTGAAATTGACGGTGTCCAAAGTAAGTTTGCATAACTCATGAGAACGGCATGCTCCTGCAAAAAAAGTTCCTACTGCAAATACATCAAGTGCTGGAAGCGATGCTTTAAATAATTCAACCATTTTGGAAGATTCAATAGTTTATAAACCATCTACTAGTGAAAACCTACCTGCCTAGGCAATTAAGCTACGCGTTTAATGTCGATCGGCGAAAAAACATTTTATTAACTTTAGCTTTTGTTTACATGCTAATGTTTTGTTATTTTTGTTTAAAAACATTTGCATGTAACCAGTGTAGATCCGGACTAAGCTTAACTTTTGCAACATCGCGCCTACTGCGACACCTCGACAGCACGTCCGCCAAGTTTAAACCTCTTCGCGTTACGTAAAGGCCGAAACAAAGTATAAAAATAAATATGATGAAGAATCGCTGCTTTGTTAACCCCACCACGGCCCGACTGGCCGGGCGACGGCGTCTGAAGAAGGACCACCGATAAGTATTTAAGAAGCCACGTGTGTACGAATCTCGACGAACACACGTTTCGCTAATCTGGCGTGCCAGGGATCGATGACCGCTGGCGTCATCGAGCGAGTCCGCGGTTCCTGCAGGTGAAGCCTTTTGCATTTTGACAAGTTTCGGCGTTGCCAAATTCCGAGATTCCGCTGCAGGGACCCAACCCATGCGAATAAAGCTGGTCCGTCCTGCCGAACCGGACAAATATTTATCTATGAGTCTTTCTAATCTAATCCATCGATTTAGCATTAGCTTTTTTGACAGTAGCAACATTTAGGTGCAGAAAATATTTCTTTGAAAATTAAGGTAATTTTCCTAAATAGGCGTAGGATCCTAAGGCCGTAATTTTCAAGGTACAGGGTTTCCAAAATAAAAAAAATCACCCATGTTTCGAAAATAATTCGACAATGCTTCAAAAAGTCGCGAATCCTGCCAAAACGACTAAAATCATAAATAGAAAATGGCAGACGACCTAACGGAAGCATATCAGAAGGAGCTAGCGTAGACATGTTCGAGCGTCTACCCAGGTAGCAAACATTTCAATAAACAATGACCAGTAATTATTGTACGCTCTAAATTTTTTATATTTGCTGTATACTACAAAAGTTATATCATTCCTTTCATTAAATTTGTCCTAAAGAATTAAATGAACTCAAAGCTCCCATAGCTCACGTAGCAACTACACTGTCTTAACTTGAAACTCTAAAATATACAAGCTCATAAAGCTTACATACACAAGCTCCTAAGGCTCCCATACACAATCCCTGCCTTCCCTATTTGGAGAAATTAAGATTTAAAACTAAAATATATTTGCTCAGAATTTTCTGAGAAAATATCCTGTAAATCGGCAACACTGGGACTGTGTTTTACCGTACGGATATTTACACTGGCTTTCTGGCCGTCAGTCAACTTAATGAGATGTCGTGCTAACGCATCCTCTTAGAAACCCGTCTAGAGAAGGTAGTTCTTTTATCTCGCTTGTTCGTTGTTTACGGCAGACTAATCGAAAATGTAAGAAGGATAATAACTTTGAACTTCCAGAACTTTCAGTAGGTAGGTACCCATTAACCATGCTCTTACCTGGACGCGAGAGCGAAAAGACGTACTTAGTTGATTAATACACGAAGAAGGCAAAGCTTTTTAGTATATAACATTTGCTTAAAACAAATAAATCGTTACATTACTATGTTTCAGTTTGTTCAGATGAGGATTAATTTTTATAACAAAGCATACAAATCTGCAAATATAAAAGACTAATTATCGAAATTTTAAAATTAAATAATATTAAATACAGTACCAGGAAGATTAATGTCGTACATTTGGTACGGAGGAGAAGTCTTCATGATATTAACGCTTCGCACTTTAATCGAAATTATTTCTCTATATTTTTCCAATAAGGAACGAATAAAGCTTTAGAAACTGATGATGTCCATGTATTTTAAAGTTAATTTAGCATTATGTTCTGTGCAACAGGGAATTCTGTACTTTGTAGTAAGATTCATCTAATTCATCAAATATCTGGTGTGCCTCAAGGATCTATACTCGGACCCTTACTCTTTGTTGTTTTTGTAAACGACATCATGGTTGATCTACAAGTACACCATTTAAAGTATGCAGATGACCTTAAGCTATTTTGCGAAATAAACACCATTGCCGACTGCTATATGTTACAGAATGTGCTTAATGTCATTAGTCTGTGGTGACCAAATAATAATTTAACGCTAAATGCCTCCAAGTGTAATATCATTACATTCACCAAAAAATAAAAAAAAATTCTGCACTATTTGATTATAAATTGGATAATATAATATTGCATAGACCCGATTACATAAAGGACCTTACATTTGACCCTACATTCATGTCGATTCTGTTTGAACATAGCAATATTGTTTATTGTTATTTTAAAGAGATCTGGTTATCTGGTAACAAGATTCTTAGATTGCCTATTCTGTTTGACAAATTTTAACAATATGATATGTCATTGTAACAAGTTCTTGTTATCGAATATTGTTATCTCAGCAAACTCATTTCAGTGATTGCTATGAAAGTGCAAGGGCAGTATTTATAATTAAAATGGCTGTAAATCCTGAGTTTATTTATTTTCAAATGAATTTCTTTGAGGAGATTAGAAATATTCTTAATCGGTAAGTATCTTATTCCATAACAGAACATACAAAATAGTGTAAAATTTTAGACATCACTTAAGACTGCAATTTAGATCTATTAGAGATACAAGTAATCCTTTTGAACTTCCCAATGAAAAATTTATTAAATTATTTCGTTTAAATAAAACAGCAACTTTAGAATTAATTCAAGATTTGGAAATGTTTGTCAATGAACCTACCAGAAAAGATAAAGTGCCATTTCATTTACAGGTAACTATGTATTGACAAGTTTTAGGTGTTGAATAGTAATAATTCTTTTTAGGTTTTTGCAAGCTTATTATTTTATTCACAAGGGGGTTATCAAACCACTGTAGGTGAAGACTATAATTTGGGAATAAGTCAACCCATGATAAGTAGAATTTTAAACAAAATAAGCAATTTAATTAGTGTTCACTTATTACCAAGATATATTAAATTTCCTACAACTGCTAATGAAGTGATAAACGTGAAAGAAGGGTAAGTATTGTTTCCGTATTTTTTGCCCTCTGAAGATATTGATGTATGTATAGATATAAAAAAAATATATTTGGAAAATAAACTAGGAAGATACATTTCTAATGTGACCTAATACCATTTTGGAATAAAATTTCAGTCTTATAAGTCCACATTTTGGGCTGGTTCTTGGCCAGTTACATATCTCCTGGTTAAACATTAATATATAATCACAGGCACAGCTATATTTGTCAATCTATATCTATTTCTAATATAAACATGTGATTATTTAGGTTCCTAAATAAAGGATTTCTATTTCCAAATGTAATTGGTACAATAGATTGTACACATATAGCTATAGTTTCCCCAAAAATAGATCACCCAGTGACTCCAGCAGTGGCTTACTTAAATAGAAAAGGTTTTCATAGTATAAATGTGCAAGCAGTAAGTTTTATTCTTTATCTTTAAGCTACAGAACTTTATTATAATTTTTTTCAGATTTTTGACTCAAATTTGATGATCTTGAATGTGAATGCTAGATATCCAGGAGCTGTTCATGATGCCGCTATATGGGAAGCCTCAAGTATTCATAGATACTGTCGTAGAAGATATCAAGAAGGAATTCGTAACAATTATCTTCTAGGGGATTCTGGTTATCCAATTCAACCATGGTTGATGACCCCAATCCTAGATGCACCTCCTAATACTCCTCAAGCTGTTTATAACGACAGACATATTAGAACACGTAATGTTGTAGAAAGAGGATTTGGTGTTTGGAAGGCTCGCTTTAGATGCTTAAGGAAAGACCGTGTTCTTCATTACTCACATGCAACTGCTGGACGAATTATTTATGCATGTGCAGTTTTGCACAATATTTGTAGAAAATACAATATACAAAATGAATTAGATGCTAATATGAATGATGATGAAGATGGAAACGATAACTATATCAATGCAAATGATAATGTGAACGGTAAATGTTCAGAATATCAATTTTGTTATGCAGTAGGTGCTCACCTTAATCTTTATTTTTTCAGATGACATTCTTACTGAAGGCAGATTTATTAGAGGACAGATAGTGAATCAGATGGTTCTTAATTAAAATGTAATTCATTCTATATTTATAAAATTAATATGATATATTCTTTTATAATAATTGTTTAACTGACTTAAGTCGTTATGTAATGCAGAAACAATTAATTATTTGATCAATAAACATTTATTTAAAAATATAAAAATAGTGTCAACATTTTCCCTCACCTACATACCTACATACCAAGATGATTAATATATGTATGAAAATAGTATTACGTATAATAATAATAATAATAATAATAGTACTATGTATGTAAAATATATTAGTTTGTTTCACACAGCAGCATCAGAGTTTTTTGCATCTTGGTTTTTAGAAACTGCACCCGCTATTTTTGAAAATGCCTCTGCTAGCTGACAGATAGCATTTGCCATTTCCTTTATTGCAGCTGCCATTTCCTGTGTGCTTTCTGAGTAGAACTTAGCAGATTTCTCCAAGTTGCTGGTAGCAGTGACATGCCTATTGGTCCCAAACTTCTTTTTAATATTTCCTAAAAAAAAAAAAAAAAGTTAAGTAAAAATAATGTTCAGATAATATCATCACTTTAATTAATTTAACAAATTCATTACTTGTCTCATAAGCTATATTAAGTTACTTATAAGCTTGAAAAATATTGTCACATGACTATTTATTTTATTATTAACTTGAGAGATAAAAATTAGGATCTAAATACACAAAAATATTTTTTAAAATGGTAACTAATAGTAAACAACCACACGCAATATTTTTTTCAACGATTAATCTCGGGGAAAAAACATTTACTGTTACCCCACACTTTCTATTATTTCTGATTTTATAACTACGATAATTTTACAGAAAATACATGCATCCTGCAAATGTTATTTTTCAACATTAATTCAAGCCATGTTATAATTTTAAGTAATTACCAAGTGATTTATAAATTACTTTAGTAATAGTTTTTCAATACTTTATTAAACTTACTTGTATTCAGTAATGGTGTTGAAAGTAATGTCCCAGATGTGGATGGCACTGATAAATAACCATCCATTCCAATCTCTGCTTCAACACATTCCACACTATTAACAGGTATTTCTGGTGCGGCGGAATCTTCTTGTCTTGGCTCCACTTCAGGGGGAAGATCAGGGCATCCAATAACATGTATCCATCCTAAAATACCCATTAACCTATTTTCTAGGTTTGTTAGGCTGCTACATATGTAGCCACCACCTCCAGTTTTTGTAATGTTTAATCTTTGTTGCCGAGCCTTCTTTTTTGTTTTTGATTTCCACTCATAAAGAAACTAAAAGAGGAGGTAAATAAAGCGTTGCATATTTTTAAGTATGACTAAAACTTACAGTTTTCCATTGCTTTTTGTCCTTCCGGGCTCCACTGTCAACAGAGTTTAATAACATACTTAATTCCTCCCATTTGTCTTCCACTTCTTTAGTTTCTAAAGGGTGGCACTTCCCCGATAGCATAATCTTATGCTCCTCGAGAAAGCTAACCATTGTTTCCATTTGTGATTTGCTTGTCTTTTTACTGCGAGACATTCTGGTTCAATTCGGCAAAATATTCTAAAATAAAAAAATAGGTGCCTTTAAATTGTACATCAATAAGGAATATGAAATGAATTAAAACAAAATTTGCCTTTTTGTTTTGTGAAATTTATAATTCTACAAACCTTTCAGTAATTTCTCCTTATAATTTGTTGTTTGTTTTTATACACAGAAAACAGAAATTCTCCAAAGTCAAAGTACAAAAACGCAACACAACTAAAACTAAATTGAAAATTTTAGGTTATAATCTTCTTCTTCTCAAAGAATTCATGGGTTAATGCGGTATTGCCAAATGTGGCCACCCTTAGAAAATAACGAATTCTAAACAATATTGTTATCATTGTAGTTTTTAGCAATACTTGTTATAAAGGTTTAAACAGAATATGAGTTCAAAAAGCCACCTTGTTATAATTTACATTTTTAACAACATGGTTTATAAAACAAGATTTTGGGCAAGAAACAAACAGAATCGGCCCGATTATCTTCTACAAAACATATAGACATAATTGCGTCATCTGCTTTTAAGAATATGGGGTTCATAATAAGGAATTCCAAAGGCTGTATCAGTATTTCTACACTACGATTGCTCTACACTACCTTTATTCGTTCTAAATCAGAATATGCATCAATAGTCTGGAACTCAATTTATGCTAATCAAATTGCAACTTTGGAAAGAGTACAGCGTAGGTTTATGAAATGAGCTGTGTACTCCTCAGGGTTTTCCGCATGATCTATTACTTGAGCGTTTTAATATTCATGTCTGCTAAAAGAAGATCTGTGGTTCAAGTAATGTTTTTGCATAAAGTTCTACATAACATTTTGCACTGTCCAGGCGTTTTAAGTAATATTAATATCAAAGTACCACGACTATCAGCTAGAAGCAACAATGTTTTTAGTCTACCCGCAGCACGTAGTAACATCCTAGTAGCATCACCATTGTATCAAATTGTTTCCAAGTACAGTGAGATAGAAAATATTGATGCATTTTTCAGACCTAAAGCTAAGAAATTTGTACAAACCGGTACAGATTCTGTAGATATGACACTTATGATTGGAAATGTTTCTAATTTGTTCAATAAAGTGCCATAGTCAAATACCTTAGAGAAATCAGTGTACACCACGTCGATCTGACTTATGATGACATTCTTTCACACTTCACACCTGTAGCCAGCAACTGTTTCGGTTATTAAGAATATGTACGAAAACGGACGTTAAATATCCAGGTGTAGAGAAATAATTGTTCAACTCATTTTAATAGCAAGCAGCAAGTGGCAAAATATAAGAGAGTTATGCCTCTATCCGCACTATATTTTTACGACTCATTACCCAGACATCTTATATTTAGTCCCAGACGTAAGTTTAAATAGTCGGATTGCCGTAGTGACAGAGAGAACCCGTAACAAACATCATTTACATATTTAAGTACAAAACAAAATCGTTATCTACGACTGTATTTTTTTTTTAATAAATCCACGACCCACAAAACACGGTATTCGAGAAGTACGGGTATAGATAGCTTTCGTCAAAACACAATAACAAACGAGCTCGTGTAGAAAATGAATGGAATTATCCGTGCCAACAAAAATAAGCAAAAATATACTTGAAAATATAATATTAAACGCACGTTAATTAATATGCATTATCGGTCGGACGGCAGCGTTCGAATAAAAAATGGACATTTAAAAAAAAGTCGGCAGAGAAAATCTTGTCGCGGCCAAATAGAACGGTTCAAGGCCGATACGTTTTACTACTTGGCGCCTAAATTTTAGTCTACAAATTGAATTCCTGCGTGCTAGAAGCCGCCAAAGTTATCGGCTTTGGAAGTGATACACGTTTTAACAGAACATTATATTTGTTGATTATTGCTACATTAATATATTTGGTAATTTTTTTTGGAGTAGGTAAAATGTCATAATCTATTGTAAAAAACACTTGCGATTTGTACATTTCTTATAAATTAAGGAATAAAAAAGTTTTCCCTCTTTAAAACAGTCTTATAAAGTATAATCAATAACAATTTTAATAAAATTAAACTACTGACGTTTAGACAGGTACTGCTCCCTTCTTGAAAATGAACGATATGTCTCTCGAAACGTCTGGTCAGCTTAAAAATTGTTCAATTCATTAAAATATGCAGGTATTTTGCAGCATGTAAAAATGCCAAAAGAATCTTTTCGCAACTATATGACAGGTCAGCAGGGCGGAAACTCCGATTCCATTCAGCGTCTTCTGCTTAGCAGGGATTTTTGCTAGATGTCCTCGAGCACCTGTAAACGGCTTGGTAGTCACATTCGAAACATAACTGAAATACGACAACATGAATCATAGGGCGTCTTTCATGAAACAAGAGCACACATTCAGTTCTTGTTTTTTAAATTTGTTTACCGATACCAATGTATGGTAAGATAAGCAAAGGATCGATACTTGACGCAAGCAGGTTAACTTTATGCCGTACATTTCAAATTGAAATTAGGTTAGTGAGAATATGTAACAATCGCACATCGGCTTAAAATACCTACTTATTCTTTTAATGTATTAGATTCACAAAATAACACCAAGTGACCATCGAGATGGCACCGTCGATTTAATTTTAACACTTTTATGCGCTGTATATGAACCAGACCTGACGGAAACGTTGCCAGTATGTCCGGGCTATTATAATTTAAAATATTTTAAAAATGCAGAATATGTATATATATATATATATTAATATTGCAAATGAAAGTAACTCTCCATACGACGGACGCAAGAAAAGTAACATAAATAAATAGTAACATTACTTAAAAGAAAACGAACTTATTGAAAACTCCTGGAGTTGACAGGGAAAGACAGGTTACTACCTGGGGAAAGTGATTGATCTTGTTCGATTTTTACAAAAATGACAACATAACTGTCTCAATTAAACGCTATTTTTTGTTGGATCCACGTTTATATGAAGAAAAAGTAATCTTTTTCGACGTAGAACACCCTAGTTTCGGGACACCCTGTATAAGACGTCTAAATAGCTAGATCACCGACTTAAAAAAATATAAAACTGTCATTTTAAATACAAAGCAGTTTTCTTCGTGTAGATTTAATAGCATTTATCGTTTCCTCACCATTTGGCAGAACAAATCTCGGTTTCTCCTTACAATTATTGCGCTTCTCAATTTTGCAATAAACTAAATAATATATCATGCGATTTTTTGTTTAATCGTCATTCCTGCGATCTTTTACAGTCTCCCCGACGCCAGACGAAGAAGGTTGAATGTTGTTAAATATTATATAGTAGTAGTCAAACCGGCTAGACCTATAGAATTAATTAATGGCATTTTTAGCTCTCGCCGCACTCCCGAGTATTTATTAACATTCAAATACCTCCTTTTTTCCAATTTAAATTTTTGCGACTGATAAAACTCGGTTATGCCTCGTAAATATTAATTACGACCATTTTACGCAGTTCAGTTGTCGTACGTTGACTAAGGGGCGACACGTGCAGCAATTAAAGCACTTTTCGAATGCGCTGCACGAATTTTAGTGGGAGCCGGACTGCACGTTGCACTTATCGCATTTGTGGGACGCATTAATTCGGCCGATTTGCACAGGATCATGGCAAACCGCGATACTCTCCGAAAGGACAGCTCCGGCGCACTTTACCCATCCCAATGACTTCCCTAAGTCAAAAACGACTTGACATCTAAAAAAATTAACTAACTACAACAAGATATGAAAATATAATTTTTTATTTTGGGATGAAAATTATAAATTTTGTATTCGAGAATGGAGAATTCTTTGCAAAAACCATTCGAGAATGCAAAAGCGGCTTCGCAACTGTGTAACAAACAATATATTTTCGAAAACTGCTTCGAAACATCGTTAAATTTGAATAGGGGTGCGAAAGTTTCAACAAGCAATCAGAAGTAATCAGAAAGCCGGCACTGTTCTGGTTGCTGTATTTATTATAGTACCTACCGTGTTGATAAATTATGTGAATTTTAAGAAAAAAATAGCGCCTCAAGTGTTAAAAATGAATGAAGTGATGACTTAAAATGTCGAAAGTAACAGACAGTGCAGAAACTTATTCCTCAAAAATTTTCAACACAATGAAACCCCTAATGAACATCTTGCCAATGGAAGTAATTCTTGGAACTTGTTTGAAGAACACTTGGGAGTGGTTTTCGTAATATTCGAGCAGATTCGATATGCACCATCCACACGATAAGGTATGTTTGCCAAATCCGGAAAATCTATAAATATAATCGCATTTTTGACAATTCAGTAGTTATATTAGTGATCGTATTAATGGTGCCGTTTCAATTAATTTTTATTTAAAAAATAATTATCATATTTATGAGAGGACTAGCAGGACCAATAATACAAAATACGTTAAAAGATACTACAGACATTATAGAATTTGTTCAAAAACTGTAACAAATCTTTGTTCTTCAGAACATTTACCAGCCAGGAGGTTCTATTTACAAAAGTATAGTTTTCCGTAAGAAGAGACTAAAAGGGATCTGGTCAATATTTCGTGAAAGGAGCAACATAACAAGGAAGTACAAATCTTCTTTCAACGGATTTCTGGTTTCATATAAAATAAAATTAATTCGCCTAATGAATATGTATGTGTCTGGTATAAATTAACATTCTAAACATCAGCAAATTTCAGCCGATGTGTATGGCAATTTTGAAGTTGGCGTCGCTGTGTGAATGACCTTTTTATTTCGTGGCATGCTTTATTCATTTAGTTTTTTTTTAAGACACGTTTAAGTTTATTTGAATATGAAGCTACTAAAACGTATAAAATATTAGTTAATAATTTACAAGGGAGAGGTTAAAAATTTATTGCACATTGATAACATAATTTATTTTTATTCCGGTCGCGTTGGCTTTATCGAGTTGTACTAATTATAGTGACTCGGTTGGGTCGGTGTCTAGTTTGCCTC